TTTCTTTCACAAAGACTATCAGCTAGATGTTGGGATCGTTAGCTGTCTAGTTTTATGGTGAAGTACTGCCAATAATAATATCATAATGTTGAAAAGCCTTTAAAATATAGTAAGGATGACAGTCAGAAACATTAATTCACAACATATAAAAGTAAGTATATTCACAGTCAACATAAAGGTGGTGCTAGGGCTTTGCTGGTTATGGTGAAAAAACAAAGGTCAGGTGAAGCCTAGGAATGTTATCACTGTATCGTTTGTTGTAGAATTTCTGACCTGTTGATAAGTGCTGTTACTGGGATGATTAGCTAATGAACAATTTCAACACAGCATATTAAGAAAAAAATTTATTCTGGAATAGGTAACTCCATTTTGTTCAGCCATAAAAATATGTATAAGGACACATTCCTATTATAATAGTCTCTGTTTGTTTTCCAGGAAATTTTAATTTGGAATTAATGTATTGATTGCAGTTATTCTCGTTCAAAAGACCAGGATGATTTCTGTTTTAATATAATAGTTATTCTCGTTCAAAAGACCAGGATGATTTCTGTTTTAATATAATAACATTAAAATAAAACTGTAAACATTCTTATTCAGAAATCAGTTTCACTGTTTCAACTGAACTTATTCTCAGGTTAAGAATGTTTAGAATGGCATCTCTAATGGCAAATTCTAATAAAGGATTAAAACGATCTTTCAAATGTCAATTGAAAGGATATTATAATGAATCTCCTGATGAAATAATATATTATACTGAAATGATTTTATTGTGTACATTATTCACTGGGTCCCAAAAATAAGATCACATTGTGCTAGAAAATCAAAATTCCATGTCTGAAGTAGATTTTTCTGGATGGGCAATGATTTCTGTAGAAGTTTAATTTACCAAACTGCCCTAATTGCTGTTTTTACCCTGTTTTTAAATGCAGGACCTTAATCACTCCCATATTCCCATCCCAATTTTGTGTTCAACTAGGTTAAGTTCACTTAACAGAAGATAAACATTGAAAATAAAAAAATATCAATGGCTTGCCTTATGCGTAGATCAGGAGTGTCAAACTCAATTTTACTGAGGGCCACATCAGCACTGCGGTTGCCCTGGAGGGGGTGGGTGTGTGTGGCCAGAGTGGGTGCAGCCTATTGGGTGGGCGTGGATGGAGTGGGTGTGGCTTACTGGGTGGGCGTGACCAGTTCTACATCATTCGCATCAAGGGTACCTATGGGGGCCTGGGCAGGAGTGGGACAGATCTGAGGGTCTCTGGCAGAAGGGGGTGGGACCGGGGCAAGTGCCAAGATGGCCAACACAAAATTGTACATTGGCTCCCAGCTAGCCAGGGCCAAGGCAGCGGGGCCAGTTCCCTCACTGTTTCCAGGATGGCTTTGTGGGTCACATGAAACCACTTTGCGGGCTGCATCCGGCCCCCGGGCCTTGTGTTTGACATGTCTGGCTTAGATGGACAAAATCAAAGCATATCCATGTTTATAAATTCCTCTATACATGACTTGCAAGGCAGTATCTAGATAAGAGATCTTACCTTGCATCGGAGTAAACCTAGAATCTGGTTACATACCCATATGCCAGAAGTATTATTCTTATTATTAGCAGAAAAAGGTACATGTAACATGGGCACAATTAATACAGGTGTTTTAGTCTTATTCTATCTCATTATAAAATATCCTAGATGGTCCAATATCATGAGGAGGAAAAATTGCAACTGGAATTAAGAAGTAAACTGTAAAGATCATGAATTAACAAATGAAAAGAATGAAAAATAAGTCTTAAGAAAAATGGGAATGATGTAGATTTGAATAGTGTGTGATCTTGTGGAATTGATAAAGATAGGTTTAATTATGAATTAAAGGGCTATCATGTAGGAACTAGCACCACCTGTGTTATTGCAGATGTACATAAAAACATGAATCCATAAATTTATGTACCAGTGAATACTCAGAACCAAGGATGAGCTTGAGGAACTGGGGAAAATATATTTTTGGGTAGCATGAATGGAGGGTGAGAGAATACACAAAAGAGATTGGGCCCTTTAGGGATGTCATAAGGAATAAAAATGGTGGCTCTCTACTTAGAAAAAAATTATGTCTGAATATGAGATTTAAACAAAAAATCTATTCATATATTCCCCCACAACTTTATACTTCTAGCAGGGTCATATAAGGTGTGGAAGTCATCTAGCTAAAACAAGCAAGTATCCATGTCAGGGAACAGCAATATAGGAAGATGCTAGAAATACATGAATGATTTAGTGAAAACAACAAACATAATTTCTTATTATTTAGTTGTAGATGTTGCCATGGAGGAAAGGAAAGTCCAAAGTTGTACAGACAGAATTACAGTAAGAATATGGAATGTAAAAAGCATGAACATGGAAAAGCTCAACACAGAGAACTAACTACACACTAAAATCCTACGCATCAGTGAATTAAAATGTACAGGAATTGGATGCTTCCAGTCAGAAGATCTATTTATCACCCAGCCCATGAAAAACAAAGAAGGAAAGCAAAGACAGTACTTGGATATAATGCAGTCAATGACTGAATAATACAAGTTAGTTTTCATAGACAGCCCTTTTATAATACGGTTATCAAACAGTGATGCAGAAGAGGATATTAATGAGTTCCTGATTGAGCAGAGGGCTGGACTAGAAGATGAGAAGGTCCCTTCCACTCTGTTATTCTGTTAGAACATGCAAGAAAATTGTGCTGCTTAAGGTTAGAAGCTGGAATGCCATAGTTGGCAACAATGAGGAAAACTAAAGACTCTATGGCCAAGAAAACTGAAACAGAAAAATAATTTAGCAGTTTCTGCCAGTCCAACAATTTATTTGTTGCTAAGACATTCTTCAAGGAACAAAATCCTCTCCTATGTATATGGACATAATTAGAGAGAACACAAAGAAATCAAACTGATTGTACTGCTGGTATAAGGAGGTGAATTAGCTCAGCAAAGACATGGGTAGGGGCTGACTACAAAATAAATCACAAATGGTTGCAAGCCAGGATACAGTGGAAGAATAAATTTAGCCAGATTTTGAAAAAAATGATGATAGGGGCATGTACCTATCATTTTCAAGGAGAATATCAGAAATTGCTTTGAAATCCTGAACCTCACTGATATAGATTTGGAGGAATTGTGGAATGAAATAAAGTTACTGAACATGAAAAGAAACTGTCAAAAAAGAAAAGAAAGAAAGAAAGAAAATAAAAAAAAAAAACATGAAGTGTCAAAACAAATGCTGGGACTTGCCAAGAGAAGCCAAAGCCAAGATAAAAATATCAGGAATTTTACAGAGTGTTATCGCTACATTTGTAAAGACAATGAAAATGGAAACAAACACAAAAAATAAGTTTTCCAAAGGATCTCTGAAATCAGGAGGAAGTCCAGACTCCAAATAGGTACACTTAAAAGACATCAGTGGATAGACAGTAACTAATTTAGACAAGATCCAATGAAGATGGAAGGAATATACTGGAATTCTGTATAGAAGAGATGTCAACATCCAATATTTTAGAGAAGTTTATGGGAATGACATGGATATGCTGCTTGGAGGAAGCAAAACAATTGCTATAAATCTTAGCACCCAGAGGGGGAAGTAAAGATGAAACAGAAGACATAAATGCAGGAATATTTTAAAATAAGGCTGTAAGTACAGCCAGTCCAACCAACAAACAGAAATGTGATTGGTGTATGGTCCTGCTTTTTTTTTGATGCAAATGTAGAATATCTAAAATCAAACAATTTGGGATTCAAGAGTGAAGGGGCATTGCTAAATGGTTATCCTAAATTTATTCATTTGGAGCAATAATATGGTCAGTGTAATTAGAATTTTCATGAACTGCTTTTATTCACTGACACAATGCTGCATAGTTTGATGAAGCAACTGGAATTATTACTTATATTTTTCAGACTTTATAATGGCATGTAAGCAAAACACAAATATTTTTATTCATGCCAATATTTAATATTACTCCTCCAAGTCATAAACTAATGGGTAGCTTTCCTTGGGAAATGCAGAATACCTAAGGAGGAGGGGGAAAGAAGTCCGAAAGAATGTTGGTTTTATTTGCTGTCAATTGACAGGATATGAGTGGACTGAATATTCCTTAGCAAATGATCCACACTGGTCTATATTTAGTATTAGGGAGCCAAAAGTACTCTTTATTGCCTAGCATGCTATGTGTCTTGAGTTGTACAAAATAAAAGTGGGATATAAATCTAATAATAAATAACGGTTTTTGTATCTGAGAAGAATTGGCTTTGAAGGGTTTACTACTTTGTCATGTTTTCTCTGCATGAATTTAAGAGGACAATGAAGATTTCTTGTAGTTTTCCTCTCTTCAAAACATAATATACATGCTTCAACATACTGCACATGATATTCACCTTTTAAGATAGATTACTGATGGTGGGTGGTGGTGAGGAGGGCAGTGGAACTGGTAAGAGTTGAAAAGAGAATCTATATTCTGAAAACTTAACAATTACTGCAGACCACCATTAAAGTTGTGCTTTACATTTGTAACATACCTTATACACTTTTTGTAAGATGACACAAGCTGATTCAATCTCATTGTTCTGAATACTTAGAAAGCTTCCCCAAACCAGACCAATAACTGAAGTGAAAAGGAGTCATTCAAGAAAACATCTATGACTTCCAGCATCACTTCACTGATGCTTACTGTATGCAGAAATGCATCTTCCCTGAAATAATGCCAAGCAGTTTTACTCACTATCCTGTTAAGTCAGTGGTTCTCAACCTGTGGGTCGGGACCCCATTTGGGGTCGAACGACCATTTCACGGGGGTCGTCAAACAACGCAGTCCGCTATTTTTTTTCTCCTTTTCCTTAGCTGTGCTACTCCCTTTTATTCTATTGGCTTTTGAAAGCCAATAGAATAGACTCTCTTGAATAGAGTCTAATTCTATTGGCTTTCAAAAGCCAATAGGAATTGTCCAGGCTGTCTCTGCTCTGCTGAGCCCACCAAAAGTCCCATTCTGCAAACGGTGCTGCACCAGTTGAGTAGTCCTCGACTTACGACCGGTTGTGTAGTCCTCGACTTACGACCAGTTGGGGGTCGCAGCATTAAAAAGGTTGAGAACCACTGTGTTAAGTGTTTGAATACACATTATTTTTTGATTATGCCTCTTGCTCCCATTTCTGTAAGTACCTTGGTTCAATTAAAAAAAATCAAATACACTAAATCGTTCCTTTATCATGAAGGTAATACTTTTTTTTTAAAAAAAAATCAAGTTTTACGAACAAAGCTTTGCTAAAAAAATAATCTTTCATTGGTTTTTTTAGTAACAGATCTGGATATTGGAGAATCAACATGTTAACTCTAATTTTGACTTTACCACAAAATAATCTAGTTTCGTCCACTAGAAACTATACTAGCACAGGGGCTGCAATTTCCAGCTTCCTATCTATCAATACAGGACACAGTAATAAGGCTTCTCTTCTTATGAATTCTCTTCCAGTGGCACACAACTACCCTTTTCCAAAAAAGAAAATCACCACACCATAGAGAATTCCGCTTACTTCATAATTCATATAGCTTCATAATTCTACTAGAGATAATCTAACATCTGATTTTTGTATCATTTTATTTTGTTTGGATAATAAGAACCAGAAACCATTTTGCAAATTAGATTTAAGGGCAAGGCATAAAGAGAAAAGCAAAATGCAATCACCAAGGGTACAAAATAAGGGCAAGAAAAGGAGTTGCATGGGAAAAGGTGAGAATAGGCAAGGTGAGTAGTGTTGATCCAGCAAGTACCATTTGTATAGAAAAACAATAACAAAAGAAACAGCAAAATGCCCTTAAAGCTAATTTGCTGCATTTTCTCTCTCTTTCGTGCACACAGTGTTCATTCACAGTTTGCTGAGTTAACATGTTTAAAAGTTCTGCTTTTTTTAAAAAAAAAGTACCAAAGCACGTTTTTTTGGAATGTCTAATTTTTGGGAAGGTTGTGGCTGGATTTCATTTTTGAAATGTATTCAATTCAACCTGAGAATGTCTGCTTATGAAAAGTTAGGTACCTGACACTACCTTGTACCTTTTAAAATAGGTACACTTGTTATTCATAGTCTGTATTAGACTTTCTGGGCATTCCCAAAAAGTTCAACACACAAAACATAGATTCAGATTTGCAATACAAAATGAAAAGAAGCCACGCGTGTTGAGCTTTGCTACTGTTTTGTAAAAACATTTGTTGCTGGACCGACAAAAAAAGGGTTCCTAACCCGTTCCAAAAGTACACAAAAGGAAAAGATGGGAAAAAGGATGGCTCTGAATAGGAGGTAAAAGCAATTCTGGAAAGTGCAGAATTGCCTTCCCTTTTCAAATGACTCTGACTTACTCTTCTGACTGAATTTTTGTTTTGTGAAATCAAAAGAGCAAAGTTCAGTTGAAAAGGAAACACCACACTTATTTTGTTGATCAGGAAGGAAAACACACACAAAATAAAATCAAACCAGAAGATGATTGTTTTGATTAGCTCTGTCTCATCAGATGTTCAGCCTCTGATGAATCGTTGTTAGAGGGAGAAAGCCGGCCAGCAGATCATCCCAAGCCTATGATGCAGAAGGAGTTCCAACTTCATCATGCCACAGCACCAGAAAGTCAAAGCGCAGCCCTCCCTCTGTCCTGGGAATGATGCCAACGGTACAGGCAGCCACTAGAGATCTTCAAATGCACATGACTTTTGTTGGAGGGTGATACAGAGGCAGCGGAAAGCACTTGTCCCAAACAAGAGCTTTTCCCTTCCACCAAAAGGTTGGATTGGGATCTCCTTTCTGATCTGATCTAAGTGTACAGATCTATAGTTTTTCTAAACGCAATGTTTAGAGGAGAACAAGCAAGTCTGAATATTCTAAAAAGGAACTGTCGGAACACAAGACTTTAAAAATAAGAGTGGATTTGCTGCCAATGATGCTGTGGCTACTTGAACGCTGCAAATTCGCCTGTAGAGGGAGGATAAGAATCAAGTTTTAAAAGTTAGGTTTAATTCATCAGGAAGACAGAAACTTTATCCAGTATAAATTTGATGCTGTATACCAGACATCTTGTTAGGGAGAAATGAAACTGTTAATAGTTAATTGTGCCAAGGGATCTTTTGAACGTATGGAATAAAAACATATTCAAGCAAAATCTTTTTAAAAATCAGTAAAATAAATCTGGCCCATTTTACAAAAACTTGTAAAAGAGGTTCTATTAATCAGTTTGCAAGCAGAAAATGTTATCCTATCTATTTCTACGATTCCTAGTCATGTGTTTTTAACTTATAAAGTTAGGATTTAACATAATGATAGCTGAAGCCTAAAGAACTCAAATGCCAAATATTAAAAAAGGAGGGTGACTAGTAGGAGCTCTCTATACTCCCAAGATTTCAGTCAGTAATTTAGGAGACAGAAAGTGGATGGAATGTCCCTTCATCTATATTTATGCAAACTTAGAAAGTGCATCTTTTAATAGCTTGACTCCAGAATGGCAGCTTCCCATTAGCATAAATGTAAATAGTTTACAATGTTACTAGTCCATTAATATTACAAAAAAGGCAAGAATGTTTACATATACATGCTACTCTTTTAGTTGATTAGATGACTCCCTACCCCTCCCTCCCTAGCTTAAAAACCGTTGTACATAAACAGCTTCTGAACTTACTGTATTAATAAGGAGCAAATAACATGCTTTGAGGCCAATTTAAAAACATTTATGTTCTCCTACCCACTTCCACTATATTTTTTTTCATTCATTCTGAGTCCATGTGTACAGGCTTATGATTAACAATTAATTTATATTAACAATTTTGTCCCTATTGCTCTTGTACACTAACAGTTCCGAACGGTGATAGGAAATGGTAAAGGCAAGATTGCAGAACAAAAAGTTTCATATTTCATCCAGTCATATAAGCTTAGCATGCACTGTGTTCAGTTCAACATGAGGGGCCATTTTAAGTCATATTAAAAGCCATTCTGGTTTCAGATTCAAGAATAGAGTATTTGAAAGTTTAATTTAATAGTTGTTGATAGATAACCAGACCACTGTATTCTGACATTTCCTGAACTGTACAAGAAACAGTTTCTTGGAAACCGCTCTGATTATCTAATGGTACCTTACAGGTAAGAATAACGTAACCCAGTATTTCCAAACTTTTGTATGTAAGCAAGCATAGGAAACGGACCTCAAATCAAAAACTGCCAAAACTTCAATAAACATTTCTTAGGTGATATGAGAAAATGAAGGACAATGTAAATTTAACATATGTACAGTAAAAATGTCATTAAAAAACAAAAACAAATGCACTGCAAAGCTGGATGACTGTTGCATGATTAGAAGCAGCCAAAATGTTGAGATACTAGACCTCTTGCTACTATTAACTCTCAACAACCTCTGATAAACATACCAAGTTTCTTTCCTTTTGTTCTTTGCTTAGTTGCAATTGTGCTTAACTGTTATTTTGAACTATCACTGTTCAATGTTGCTAAAGAATTCAGGTTTGCAACTGCTAAGAGGGATGATTGCCACTTTAACTTTCCTTTATAAATTAAATTGCCCCAACAAGGAAGGAACATGTTAGTGCATGCCACCAGCAATCCCGATCAGGTAGTGATATAAACTTTACTCTGCTATAGAGGGTTTTTTTTAAATCTTAAGCAACTTTCTACTACTACCTAAACCAAATATATACAAAATATAAGAAAGGATCAGAAAGGGGTATTAGCTCAGCAGATGTCTGCCTTTGGGTGACTCCAAATCTAAGTGGCCATTTGATACACCACAGATGGGCTGCCTTCTATGGAAGAATCTCCCTCCTCCTAGCAAGCATGATTAAAAATCAACGCTATTTATTAGCACAAGGTTATGCTACCTATCTCCCAGTCTCTGAGAATAATGCTTACCTAATCAAAACCCCAGATTTGTTAGGACTGTAACTCTCAGACATCCTAGCCAACACAATCATTGCTATATTATGTGGGAAAATCAAATGCTTCTACCAGACAGAAAAAATAAGGCAGCTCCTAAGAGATATAGAAAGGTTCCCAATTCTTTGTCGTGAATAATAAAATACAACACATATCAATCCACTTGGAGCCTTTCTCACTTTTCCTATCTCCAAGATTTACCCTGGAGATCTTAAGGGGGCATAAAATTGAGAAAGACAGAAGATCTACCAGTAGGCAAAAAGTTCAATGCTGAAAATAACAACGGTTATTATTTAAGCCAAGGGCAATGTAACAATAGCAGTATGAGAATTTACTTTTTGAAGATAGATATCAAAATATCAAATTTTTAAAAAAGGTGGGGAGAAGAGAAAACTGGAAGAATTCTGTCCAAGAAACCCTGAATTACAATTTGCTTTACTGGAGATCTGACCCTAACTGGATAAATTCCATACAAAAGCATGAGACATTTTCTCCATAGAAAGGAGATTTCAGAAGAAACATTAACCTACAAAAAGTTGAACAACAACAGCAAAGCCATTGACTTTTGAGAGAAAACTGGTGGTGAAATGTTTATATTCCACCTTTAAACAACTTTTAAAGTTTACCACTCTGCTTTTACAAGACTATTTTACCCCATTATGGGCATCATTGTTTTAATACATAGCAGCCACTTCAACATACAACTGTAGAGACAAAAACAAGACTGGGATAATTTAAAATAGATAAAGGTAGTTTAGTCAACAGTAGGATAAGAACAGAAGCAATATAAAGAAATATCAAAAGAAAATAAAGACTTATGTATTAAGGAAAAAATGTTTTTGAGTGAGCAGGTAGTTAAACAAAACATGCTACTGGCCAGAGCCTTGATATTCTATGATATTTGCTCAGCTTTGACAAATAAATCAAGAGGCACCTGGTTTTTATACTTTTACCTTACCTTTTTTGCGTTGCCATCAATATTGTTGATCTAAAAGTGTTGCTATCGAATGACAAAATACTTTTATGATGCAAACACAAAACTCTACTTAGGATCAAATTAAACCATAACAATGAAACAAACAAAAAATAAACATTTCACTTATAACCCAAACACAAATGGATACATATTAGTTTCTGATAAACTGAAGACGCATTCCTGAGCCTGTCTAGGATGGCAATTCTGAGGACCCTCTGTTGCCAGCAACAGATGCTAATCTGAGCAGACTGAAAGCCCAGGATTAGATAAGCCCTTAGTCGGTCAGTCCATCTTTGTCAATGATTTTAAATCGCTTAATGGAATTAGAAATCATTCTCAATTTGTTTTCAGTACCAAAAACCCACCGTATCCCCCCGCCTGGATAGGTGTTTTTGGAGACGTGCAAGCATACAAGCTAAAATCCTCTGTTTGGAAACCAGCACGGTTCAAAGAGGGCTCAGATGCGCTACGGTGAATTTTTGGCAACGACCGGGCCAGAAGCTCAATAGATGCAAGAATCTGAAAACAGAGAAAAACCTAGCATTACTTATATGGACACAATGTATTACAAATTATAAGACAATAATATTTAAATTTGCAATCCTGTTAGATGTACTGTTTTTAATAAATCTTGTGAAATTTAATAAACAGAGAAGTTGCCATTTTAAGAACTAACTCCATTCTCCTACAAACATGATGGAGATAATGTGACTAATTTACTGCCCCTTTTCAATGAAAATTCAATGAAATCAAAGGCTTTTGAGACAGCGTACTGCCTAAAGCACAACTGGAATGCTGCAAAGGCAAAATCCAAGTGAAGCACTGAAACCATTTAAAAGCTCATTCCGAACATCCTTTAAATTGTAACTGCTGCTTTTTGCAAAAATTTCAAGTATAAATATTTCACAGACTGTACTATGGTGGGGATCCTTGCTCAGACTCCTTTCCCGATGTCACAAAGGCAAGGCAGGAGTTGGAAGGTACTACATTTTGCTGAAATCTTGACTGAAAAAAATGGATGCAGTTAAATTATTTAAGTCTGATTGTTTTCTTCCCAACTTTGCAGGATCTCCAGTAAAATCCAAAGGATTCTAACCTGTGGTTTTTCACTTTGGGATTGATTGTCCAAATATCTGGATAAGAAACATACATTTCCAGAGTGGAGACAGATTTATTTATCAAAGCAGCCTCTTTTAAATAGAAGAGCACTTTAACTATCAAGGAGGGATTAGTCAAAGATTAAAGTCAAACCTTGGTTCCATTATCATGGAACCCCATACTTCACCACCAATGGACTAAAGCTATCCCTGTAGCAGCAGAATTATTTAAACTAGAAAGCCCTACCTCTATATATGTTACACCATTTTGTTTATGGGCCTAAGACTTCAGAGATAGATTATTCTTCGTTGGAGTTGCTGTGAGGTACAGAGCTAAATATGTATGTGGTGTGGATACTCTAGGACACAGGTGTCAAACTCGCCATGTCACATGACATGTCATGATGTATTATGACTTTTTTTGCATTGCTGAAGCTGGAGTGGGCACAGTCTCCGTAGGATGCAACCGGCCCGCAGGCCAGCAGTTTGACACCCCTGCTCTAGGATGTAAGTGTGAAGGTTCTCCTATCAATATTATCATATACAAAATGGGTATGAGGTTGACATTTCAGTTGAATAGAAAATCTAGATAATGTGTGCCTGCTATTATCTTCTAACAGGCCAACCTAACTGGGTAGCATCTGGCTGCATTGCCAACTTGTTCTTGTAGTGCTCTTGTGCTAGCTACGGTTGCTAAATGCTAATCCAAATATGAGAAATTCTTACCTGGGGGAAGAGAGGCCTTTCATCTCTCTTTTTTTTCAGGCATTCTGCCATTAGTCTCTTCATGGCTTTGGGACAATTGCTTCGCACTTTGCTGAGATCCGGAGAAAGATACCCTCGTCCCACCATAAATATAATCTTTGCAGAAAGAGAGAGTGAAAAAGGGAAAAGTAAATTTCTTCTATTGTGATTTTTAAATATGGTTGTGCAGTGCTTTGAATTTAAGTCTCCTCAAAAAGGGGTTCAGGATGCATGGGACTGTGAGTTTGGCACCTGACTGCGACATCTTAAAACAATTGCATCTTTTCCTGGGAAGTTTGTATTGCTATATACGGCAAAGCACTTTTCAGACACTGAATGCAAGTGCTGCACAAATGTAAAACTTTTAGGCATATTTCAAAAGTTTAATAGAACCAATTTAGTTCTTTTACACACTGGAAGGTAAAAGGCTGACAGGATATGTAATATGTCCGTCAGTTTTAGTTTTGCATCCATTGCATATAATTCCCAAAGTGGCATTTGTATTAAATACATTGGTCCAAGATCTCAATAATTCTAAAGAAGCAATGTTAGACACCAAATTGATCTATGCCTTATCTACAGCAAGTACAATAATTGAAACAGGAAGGACCATTTAGGCAGTCAATACCCACCACAATTCACTACAGTACTCAGAAAAAAATTACCAAACTAAGTCTCAAAATTATTGTTTCTGCATTTACAAATTAGGTGCCTACTTGAAAAGAAATACACTGTACTATATTTCAACAACACTGGGATTCACATTTATTTAAAGCAAAACCTAACCTGAGCATATACACGTGACTTTCAAGCTCTTGTTTAAAAAGCAGGAGCATGCCCAACTTTGCTAATTGTTTTGGAAATCTTCCCAATTTCAAAGACCATCATTTGGTATAGGATGAAAGTTGCTACTGTTACAATAAGCCACTTTTCTCTCTTGTGGCACACTGAATTAATTGCTCTGTTCATTAAATTAGTTGTTGTTGTTCACTTATACGCTAAAAGAAAAGAAATATACAATTCTGAAACCCTAGACCTCAAGATGACTCAAGTATCCCAAGAACCAAGATCTTAAACTTAAGGCAAAAATATATTAAAAATTAATATTACTTTTCTAGATCAGCTTTCTGCAACTGGGTACCAAACTCTAGCTGAAAATGCTGAGATTTTGGCTAATGTATCTAGAAGGTACAGGTTGGGGATTTTTTGCTAACAGGATAACAAAGTTGCCTTAGTTTTATTCATCTCTTGTCCTTTTCCCAGCATATTTAAAAACTATTCCATTTTCTTCAAGTAATCTTGAAATCTGTGTATGTCTGAATAACCCAGATAACAAGTTACATGATTATACTGCTGATTCTCAAATGAAGAAAGCAAATCTGCACTGAAGAATGGAAGACCTGTCAAATAATTATAATTTATCACATTATTTTGTACAAAAGACACACTGTTTTCTGAATATAGATATTTAAGTCACCTAACATACCAGTCTACCCCAAACTGAAAGCAGTGAAATGTGTAAAAGACAACATTACAAAGGCTAAAATAATCTGTCAGTACCACAGTACTACAATATGAAAGGATGGGTACTGGTAGTCCTCAATTTACAACCATTTCTTTAGTGACTATTCAAAGTTACAACAGCACTGAAAAAAATTACTTATGGCCCATCCTCACACTTATTACTGTTGCAGCATCCCCACAGTCATGTAATGAAAATTCAGGTGCTCAACAACCAGCATACATCCTGGGGTCATGTAATCACCATTTGCAACCTTCCCAGGTGGCTTCCAACAAACAAAGTTAATAAGTGAAGCTGGATTTGCTTAATGATCATATGATTCACTTAATAACTGCACTTAACAACTATGCCAAAAAAGGTTATAAAACTGTGTGTATTCACTAAACAAACAACTTGCTTAGCAACAGAACTTCTGGTTCTAACTGTGGTCATAAGTCAAGGACTTCCTATAATTTAGAAATAACACTTTCCCATTCCCAACTTACCTGGTCTCTATTGTTGATGTTGGAATATGGCAATTGCCCAGTCATCAGTTCATAAAGGACAATTCCAAATGCATACACATCTGATTGAAAGCTATATGGATTTTTATCTTGCATCCTAATAACCTCAGGTGCCTATGACATAGAAAACAACTGCTTTATTCTAATGCAATTGCAGACTTTATATATATATCAGATCCCCCAAAATGAAGTTAGTATCTAAAAAGATAAAAAAAAGGATAAATAAACCTTACATATTTATCCTCTACTTAGTGGAAATTAAGTAATTTCTAACCAGATACTGAGCTGGTCAAATTGTATGCAATACAGTCATGACCTTTCCTTTGATAGCCTTTCATTGATATTAAGAGTATTGATATTATGGGAAAAAACGTAAGACAACTTTGGCCAGTGATTGCACTGAGACATTCAGTGAGAGAAGAAAATCCTGGGTAGACAGCAAAAGGTTTCCACCATTCCACCTGTGGTGGTATTCTGCTACACATTAGAAAGGCTTCTGCTCAGCAAAGCCAAGCATTTATCTCCATCCTAAAGTCATTGGAAATGTTCCTTTCTCTGCGAAAGGAATTGTGCAATTTTGGTGAACAATTTGGAAAATACTCCCTTCACATACCATCCATAGAATTGATCCAGACAACTGTTCAAACTGGTGGGATCCACTCCATCGTGACTTCACTGTTGCTAGGCCAAAGTCGCCTATTTTTACTGTGAGGTCTTCATGAAGAAATATATCTGACAGGAAATGTAAAGGAAAAAAAAACTAAGCAGGATCTGATTTGTCTGGCGGTTAGATGGGAGGCCACCAGGAATTGAAGTTTTATAGAGAAAATGAAAAATAAAAGCCATTCTGAAAGAAGATAACAACAAATCACTTCAATATTGTTACCAATGAAACTAAATGGTTTAGTTTAGTAATGATAAATTAAAGCAAGGTGGTTACAAAATGAATATCCATGCAGACACTGAGAGTCAAAACTTCTGAAAGTTTCATATATATTTGTATGAGAGATAGTTGATTTTATATAATGAAATATACTGGCATGAAGCACTCTGATGTACTTTGCTCTTCTGCATTCAAGTCCTATGACACTATGCACTGAAGTTCATCAAAAGAAATCAACACATTGACTGTTGGATTTGGAATCACAGGAATGAATCAAAAGTTGACTTAGAATGGATATGCTATTCACATTGTTCCCAAGACATATGAATCTGGATGCCCATCTCCAGACATATTCAGATGTACAGTAATTAGTTAGGCACAGAATATATATTTGCTTTCTTTAATAATTAAGGTTAAATTGAGACAAGTAACTACTCCAATATTTACATATGCATCCTCAACTGTTCCCAACTATTATTTTTTCCCTTCTTTTTTTACTCACTTTGAAAAAAGGAAGGTGAATGATAAAAGTTAGTGTTTTTAAAGGATACTATTACTCTTGAGGTCTCTGTGGATGATAGACTTGGCATGCAAGTAACTGCAAAGTAACAAAACAAGCAGTGAATTGATCATGCCACTTACTTAAGGAATCATAAAAAAGCCAGGTGAAATTAAATTGTAAGAAAGATAATTTGTTACAGCAAAGTAATCATCAACTTCCACTCCTCACAATTTTAGACTCTTGGATTGTAATCCTATGTATATTTACCATGAACATATTTTGTGCTCTTTCTACAAACTCCTTTTGGAAGGAAGAGCCTACAATTTGGATGAAATTAGAAAAGTTGCCATATAAACACTTCCACCTAACTAATACAATACTCCTTTTAGCTTGTGAAATTTGGATTTAAATTGCTATTGCCATTAGTAATCATTTGGTATGTTTAACAATGAATTAAGTTTAGACTCTGTTCTATTCTTGCCTATTTTTAAATTTCATTAATCCCTGTATAAGCTATTTGATTTGTCACAGCAATTTTCGCTAAAAGATAAAATTTATGGTTTTAGTTGTTTCTATGTCTGTCATGTTGTATGAATTTTTATTTATCATCTATTTGGTCTCTGACCATCTAGCAAAACTTAATCAATGTATTGCACAGATTAAAAATCTCAAGCACTTGTGTTTGTGTTCTATATTTATAAATCAATTTCCTTAACTCAGCAATAATTTGAAAAATCAATATATTTGATTTTTTTAATATCTTCTTGAACAAACAATCTCCACTAGTTGAAACTTCCTATGAATTATTTCAGTATAGAGAACTAATTCAGGTTTACTTCTCCATATTGCTCAGCAAATGATACCCAACTTACTCCATTCCTTGTGCTGTCTGGCGTGCTATATCAATCAGCTTGATCATTTCAAATTTAGTTTCAATGATGTGTAGATGGTGATAAAGACTCGACCCTTCACACCACTGCGTAACTATAGCCAGCTGTGGCTTTGTTGAATAACCCATGAAAAGTAATATATTCACATGTCGTGTTTTCCTATGGTGTTGGAAAAAAAGGAAAACTTAAAATTACTTGGGGAAAAAAATCCAGCAATAACATGCTATTCTAGAGATTAAAGCTTTAAATCAGCACTCATTTAAATATCAAATCAAATACAGTCCGGCATTTTGTTCTTCATTATACCGAATTAGATGCCACTAGAATGCCAGCAAACAAAGTATGAAAGAATAAAACTCTCCTGCTGGTGGTTATAGAACTCTAGCACTGTTATCTTGCATGGTTTTCACTTCCTGGACATCCTTGATCTGTTTTTCATTGTTCCTTGTTTTTAAAAGGTCAGCCATCCAGAGATAAAACCTATTTCTTCTTGTTGTAAGTAGCCCCATTTTAGTAAAATACCTGAGCAATCACCCCTCAATTCTTTGTTTTTTTTTAAAAAAAAAGATGGACCAGAAGGACAAGATCCATTATTAAGGAGTACACGTATGAAGCAACTGGGCAGGAAAGGCAGAGGTCACTTCGGATTAATAACCGTGGTGGCATAGTAGTTGGAATGTGGTACTGCAGGCTAACTCAGTGCTCACTCCAGGAGTTCAGTCCTGACTGGCTCAAGGTTGACTCAGTCTTCCATCCTTCTGAGGTTGGTAAAATGAGGACCCAGATTGTTGGGGCAATAAGCTGACTCTATAAATTGCTTAGAGAGGGCTGTAAAGCACTATGAAGCAGTATATAAGTCTAAGTGTTATAGTTATTGCTATTATCTAATTCCTAAAAGTTAGTGGTTTTTCTGGTTGTGTTATCTGTATATAATTCATATAATCTTACCTGAGAACTCCTACTTCATTTTTAAAAGCCTGTAGCTGCTGAGGGGTGGGAGCTGTAACATTCAACATTTTCACTGCAACATCACCTTAAAAAAGAATTTCAAAAAGTGAACTATGGATGTTTTGCTCAAAAATTAAAGTGAGTTAAGCATGCCACTCATAAAATGATTAAGTGTTTATATATAACAGGGCAATACTGATTGTCCCATAAAGTCTCATTATACAATACATGCTAATGAAAAAAATAAGTTACTGAAGGCTCACTTAAGATCTCTGTCATTCTCTTCTTGCACTGAAAACCTTTTATGAAGTCCTTTTCCATTTTTGATGCGATTTTACTGCGCAGCACAAAAAATAGCTGCTCAAGAAACAAGCTCAAAGTACCATGGGAATATTTGTTGCAACTTTTTCTTTAACCAGAAAAGCAGAAGCCAATGTAGTGGTTAAGTACCTATTAACTATTATTGAAATGGGGAGGTTTCAGTAAACCATTCAGATCGAGCGAATCACTTTGTAAACTGGATCATATAATTAATAGGTACTGCTCTGGGCATTGAACTAAAATATCATTGAGAGCCAGTTTGGTCTAGGGGTTAAGATGCTGGCCTAGGAACCAGAAGATCATAAGTTTTATTCCTGCCATAGGCATGAAAAACTGGCGAAGTGACTCTGGGTCAGTCATTCTCAGCCCAACCTACCTAACAGGGTTGTTGTTGTGGGGAAAACAAAGGAAGGAAGTATTAGGTATGTTTGTCATGCTGAGTTATTGTAAACAAAAATAAAGGTGGAATAAAAATCAAATAAATAAATAAAAATATCTAGATCCTAACAAATGCATGTTAATTAAAAAAATAGTATATATATCTGATAAAAATATTTTTGGTAACTTTCAGAATTATAGCTTCTCAAGAGACTTCTGGTTTTGCGTCGCGGTGAAATGGGATGCAGGAAGGCAGAGCTCTGCCTTCCGCACCTGATTTAGCTTTGCTGGGGCCCTGAAAGGAGCTAAAGTCGCCCTGAAGAGGCGATGAAGAAGGAGGGGTGCTTTGTCAATCACAGAGCGAGATGGTGGTTCCTCTGTTCGATCCAACGAAAATCCTCTAAACTGGCAGGGGAAAGACCAGCCACACCTCTGCGGCCGGCCATTAGCTGCTGACAACCGAAGAACAAAAGCTTTAATTAGCACATTGTAAATAGCATGCTTGGACTAGGTGAGAATATTGATCCTTTCTTTACTATTTTACAACTGAACTTCCTGGGAAAGACTCCCAAAAAGCTTAAAACCTCCGGATGTGAATGGAAGCGGCGTTTTAAATTTCTTATGGGGGACAGAAATACACAATACTGAAGTGGAAAGTAATATAAAGCTACAGCTTTGATAAATCTAAGAACTGAGGTAATTGTCAAGTTTTTCTCTTTGGAAAAAATATTATTGAGGTGAAATATAAGAAATAAAAGAAATCAAGCCTTTGTTTTAAGAGTGGAAAATGGACTTTGAATGACATCTAGTGGTGGATTTGAGTACAGCACTATAACTAGCTCCTTAGTTGCTTGGTAACTTTCAGCTTAAGGTCTGGCAATAAAAGAAAATATTTTGGCATATTTATCATCCTGACCTTCTTGGACTATAAATACCCATGGAGTCTGGACTTTTAATCTTAAGAGCTAGTGGGAGAGAAAGAAACATTTGACTTTTGAATATGTTTGGCTGCAGGGAGGTTGAACATTTTGAACACTTGGAACATTGTGGATTACAACCTTGCCTGACTGATAATTTTCAGGATACTTGAGACAAAAGATTACTATAAAAAACTGCTATTAGGACTGGATTATAAAGGCTATATATAAAGACCAGAAAACTAGAGGAAATTTTATTCCACTCTTACTGAGACTGGTGATACTAGAGGATTTCTAGGAATGATGCCTCAAGAAAAAACAAATACCTTTCAGAAGGAAATACTCTCGATGTTACAGCAAACTCATCAAACAATTGTTGCACAAAAAGAGGACATAAAAAGAAACCATAATGAGACTAAAAATAACCTAGATGACATAAAGGACCAAAAATCCAAATTGAAGCTACAACTGGAAAGCTCCTAGACAATGACTACAAAGTATGAACAAATAAACCAGAAATCAGAGGGTGAAGCAGAAGAAATGGACCTAGAGATGGAGGAGATAGGAGAAGGGAAATATGGACTGCCATACACAAATAAAATACTGCAAGACCTACCTATAACAATGAAAATACAAAAGACCCTTTACTTCTTTCTCCAAAATACACCTGATGACAAGGAAGAAGATTCTAGAAAATGGAACATAGAGCGGGCAGGGGAAATCTCTAGGGAATGTGGATGAGCGGAGTTCTCCCCCCACCCCCAAATACTCTACCTAAAGTGTCTTTCTCATGTCAAGCAGCTTTCACAAAAATAGAAAGAAAATTCTAGGGCGATTTAATTGCCTTGGCCTGGAAAGCTGCTTGGCAAAGAAAGAAAACGAGAGTTAGACTTAAAAAACAGAGGATTTGATCTATCAGAGGGGGCACTACCTGTTTAATATACCTATTTGAATATGATTAAAAGAACGGATGAACCTTAGATATAACTAGATTTTTATAATGGAAGAAAAGATTTAGAATTAAAATAGCATTTTTTCTTGTTTTGATATGGGAAATTTGAAAATAAGAGGATTGGTATCAACAAAACTTTTTAGCTATATAAATTTATATAAATATAAATCATAACTGACAAAGATACTTTAAATACTGATGGGAAATTAAACTTTAATAAGAATACGAAAAACAGGATATTGACATGAATTGATATTGTTATTTTTATAATATTAGTAAAATATGATGAAGATGTCTATATCTAATTTTGTATACATCAATAGTACTAAGAATTGTAATTGTTTAATGAGGGGAAAAGGGAAAAAATATGCGGAGGAAGGAAAGGAAAAGATCAAGGAAAAAATACTGGATTGTGCAGTACTGAACAGATTTATATTGAAGAGGTTAATGTTAAATATGTGAACCCAGACAACATGTTGTTTACTAAGCTCTAAAGATTGTAATTTTTAAAAATTAGTAAAATCTATTAAAAAAAAGAATTATAGGTTCTCAAATCCTTAACACAAAGAAATCTGCTGAAGTTTCAATAATTGTTTTAAATACTTTTGGTGAAAAATAGTTGCTGCTGTAGTTACATACCATGCCATTTCCCTTTATAGACTGTCCCAAATGAACCAGAGCCTATCCTTTGTCCAACTGTGATCTGACCATCTGGTATCTCCCAGTCATCACTTGAATCTCGTCGACCTAGGGTTTTCTGCAAGAAAAGTGTATAGTTCTGTAAATCTTTTTAGTACAAATTTTATGCATGGTGAATGTGAAATGGCCTTACATTTACCCTGTTTAAAAGCCCCAATTAGTGCAAACTCATTTTATAAGCATAGCACACCATGTTATAGGACATCAAGCCTTGAACATTTCAGGGGAGTTTGCTTACACAAAGAAAGAAAGGCTGTGGGGCCCCTTTGATCTCCTATCCATACTTAAGAGATCAAGAAACTAGGCCTACTTGGTGAATCAAAAATGAGTACTGGTTCAATAAGCTAATTCTGTTCTTACCATTCTAGTTCGATCTTCAGAAGATGATGAGGACTTCCTCTCTCTCTGAGGCCCTGGGGATTTCTGTAATGCTTTCACATTAGTGAGAGATCCAGGTAAAGACGCAGGTGGTGTAGCAGACAATCCTGTAGTTGAGCCTACATTTGTAATTAAAGGTCAAAAAACAGCTCCACGTTTTTAAGGACTAAAATACATTGACTTAATTCACAAAAAACAGTAATTGCAAAAATTGTGTAAAAGATGCAGTATTTTCAAACATAACAGACAATTAAGCACAAGGATTAAGTCTTGCAAACCAGGTGCATTTAATAAATATTACAGGGTGCAATTCTAGCTCGATTTAATTATAAAACTTTTATCAACATGTGGAGTTAGAATGTGACTCTAATTCACAAAAGAGGAAAGAACAAATCTGCACTCTATAGAGTTTTCAGAGATTAATAATTATAAAGAGATACTGGGTTCAGTATCTTTTTATAATTTAGCAACTTCTGAAAACTGTATAGTTTTTTACACTGTTTTAAAAAGGTTCTTATTTGTTATATTACTTTACTTTTTCCTTGTTTTTTATTTATTTCCTTATTTAAAGCATTTATGCCAAAGGGGAATATATAAGAAGCTAGGTGTACTAAAATAAAATAATGTAAATTTTGAGACAATAGTGAAGAGACATTTTTTGGTGGCCCGCACTGAAGGAGCTAAGCAGAATTTTTTTTTAAAAAAAAATCAAGACCTAAGACCTCTCTCTTATGTTTATGACTGAATATTAGGAAAACTATTTTTTTCACTGGTTTTCTTTCCCTTTTCTTTTTGTAACTTCTTTTAGCCTATTTTCCCAATGTCCATGTAGCAAAAAGGGAGCTTTCTTTCTCCCCAGATATTTTCAGATTTCAAGAATATATACTGTTGCTGTACAAATGCTTTTTATAATTGTAAAAAAGGCTTTACTGGAATTTAAAACTTTAAAGGCATGGTAGGGAAGAATATTTCTCTTTTTCCTTTCCAAGTCATTTAAGCTAGCACGTAGAAGACAAGTTTAGTTTCCTAAGCAGCCATACTGATATTTCATGGAGAAAAGGATATAAATGTTAGAATAAGATACAGTACATGTTTACCTATGCCAGTTTTCCTCAAATGAGCATCTTCTACCAAAATTTTTAGACATCAGTCTTGGGCCACACTTTTTGGAAATTCTTAGATAGAGCTCCAAGACCTCTGAAAGATGCTGTGTTAATGAAGTGATATTTAAATACTAAAACTATACCAGTAAATAAAGACTATAGTAGCTGAAATCTGTTTATATTAATTTATTAAACAAAGTAGTATCTTTTCCAATAATATAAACCAGAAACATTTTAATCTTTGACAAAACAAGAAAGTATGCTTAAAGAATACCTGTTCCTGGTTTAATTGTTTAAGCTGGTTTGTTTTAAAAGGTATTTATTTATTTTTAATTATGTAACTAAAAAGACGAATAGACTTTCCTAGGAAATAAATTGTATAAATTGAAGAACTGCATTTACAAGTCTTTCTTTGTAAAAATGGTATTGCAGTGATGCACCACAATACATCACTATATATCTTATATTTCAGTTTAATTTCTGGACTATAGTTCAATTAAAGGGAGGAAGATTATTTCTGTGTCTCATTCCAATCCTAAATCGTGGTTCTGTTGTTTTTCCCAGAAGGTTTTTTTTTATATCAATAATCTCAGGTAATGTGGACTGTTACTATAATTTAGTTCTTAAACTGTTCTTGACTTTAGCTGAGCCATCCTACACATTATGATATATCCTTTTAATCTACAGATTAGTCACAGCAGTAATATATAATTGAAGTAAATCATATTCCAGATAATTAACAAAATTGCTACCAGAATCATTAGCTCTGCAACAGATTTCTGAAAGACAGTGTTAAATAGGATTTTGCTCAAGCATTAAGTTAAAACTGACCGACAAGAAAATCAGGAATGTCAATCTACTCCTAAATCCTGGAAAGCCTCAAGATCATGCACAACAGTATGGTCCTGCTGGAATCCAGGTAGAGTTGTCAATTTCTGTACTGAAGTTCACTTCAGGATCTATGAATTAATTGGTTGGAGAGCCAGCAAAATGGCCTAAATTTTATGCTTTTTAAAAAAGAAATCTGGCCAATTTGACCCCCTCCCCCCATTTTGTGTCAGTTGGTAACCCTATTTCAGAAAAATCTGAATGAAGTTTTGCATAGATGTTAATTATCTGCAGGACTTGTCCTGTCCTCGTTTTCATATTGTAATTCGAGACTTTGAAAACAAGCAATACTTTGAAAGAAGATCTAAAAAACCTTATTTCTATAACGTAATGCTCCAGCAGCTTTATGACAATGTTTAACACAGAATAATTTGTGAGTTTAATAAGAGTGAGTGACTATTACATGAAAAAGCACATTCAAAGCATTCCAGCCAGGCTAAGCCAAAAATAAATAAATAAAAATGATAATGTTTTGAAAACTCACACACTTACATACACACGCTGTGAGGGTGAGGCACAAACAGCATCTGTGGTTTTATTTAGTTTGATTTGGGTGAAAATGAGAAAGAAGAGCCCAACTACCTCTGAACACTGGGCCAGGCTCAAAATCAAACACTATCTCACTGGGGACAGAATGGAGGAGGGGACTGGGAGTCCGGGATTGGTATTTCCGAAGGCAGCGCATCAGCTGGTTCATAGGGGCTGTTAGAGAGAAAGAGACGGGCAGGCAGAGACAGGAAGACAGACACACAGAAGAAATGAAAGTCATGGGACATAACTGAGGTGCTTAGACTCCTATGCACAGACTGCTTATGATTTTGCAGGGCAGAAACTTGTGATTTCATTTGAAAAACAAAATACAGCATATATTCAAAAGGCTGGGAATTGGTAAGCCCCAAAGAGAGCCTACTGACCAGAATTTAAAATGACATACTAGTACACAACACTTAAATGTTGGACAGAATGGGCAAAACGGTTCCAAAAGCCACAGCTCCCTACACATATGCAATTGTCAAATGGGCAATGTAATGGGCAGCACTCATAGCTTGAAGTCATACCTGCAGTCTCAGATTTGCAAAGTAGTAGCCAGTTTGTTAGAGGTAACTGGGAAAGCGGAGATGGAGAAGAAACAAAATCCTGACTAAAAACTGAGTCTCTACTAAATGTTATAGTGAAGGCTTAGATTGCAAATGTATTAAAAAAAAGAAAGAAAACAAACAAATGTCATGGAAAGCAAAATGGCCAGCTGATTAAGGACACATGCTTTCCTGTACTGCATGGTACAGCCTACACCATATATTCAAATGATAATAGCCAAGTCAAAGCATTAAATGAAGCTTATCCTGAACAGGATCTGTAGCTATTGCAGCAACATCCACCAAAAGTGTACATGTAACATGGTGGGAAAAATATACATTTTTGCAGTTATGACTTTTGCCAAGGACATTTCTCTTTACTAGACCTGATGATAAAAATTGAAGCATTTTTTTCCAAACTGGCAAAGTTCCATAACTGACTGATCATGGATCCTGACATTACAATCTGGAGATGCCAAGCTTGAGAAGACTGCTGTACATTCTTAGAGTATGGGAGCATCATACATGTTCACGTTTTTTAAACATATCACAGTAAGAGGGGCCAGAAACATGATGACTGGATTGAAGACATCTGCATTAACATTCATCATTCATTTTAAAGATGAATGAATTTGTAATATTATTCATATCATTCTACAGATTAAAAGCACAGAATATATAAGCATATCTTTCTTTTTCCTACATGCTTATTATTTGGTAAGCGCTTGCAAATGATAATGCTTGCTAGGGAGTCTCTTTGAAGAGTTTGAAGAGTTGCTCAGAGTTGCTCAGAGTAGTTTTTCATTGATTAATTGGCCAGTTTAAATAATGGAATTTATCTAACGATATGGAGTATATGTATGTGTATACATGAACACACTCTAGTAGCCTGGCAATACTCAATTCTTTTTCAGCAAGAATGTACATAATATCTCCAGCTGTTATGTTTTTAAGAAATCAGGTATTTTTCTAAGAAGCTCTTATTGTATACTCTTTAAGTGGTTGATTTAGAAATTGTGCTAGCTGACAGACTTCTTAATAAAGAATTATTTTTAATATAGCAAAATGGCAGGTTTAAGCTTTTTATAGCAAAAGGAGAAAGAGGATCAGTTGAAGTTACCTTCTATAATCTCCGATTATCTGTTTTGTTTTTTTAAAAAAAACACTGGCTACCACTTTGCATGTTGTTCTCATCTTCCTTTCACCCACATTGAAATGTGAATCGGTGAATTTTTTTTATAAGACGACGCTAAATGTCATGGACAAGCAAATGAATTTCATTGCATTAGTTATAATTTCTCTCCCATGTCTGTATTTTGCAAAAAAGGAGGTTGTATAAAAGGGGAGGAGGCAAAGCAAGTATTGGGTATGCAAGAGAACAAAGTAACTTACCTCCCTCGCCTCGCAACCCTTGATCTCTAATCAAGTCCTACAAACCAAAAACAAAAACTATATGCACCTTATTCATGCGTTATGTATGTTGCTTGTCATTAGGAGGACTGGTGATGAAGCACTTTTTTTCTCTTTCCTTTAACTAAGAAAAGCAGACTGAAAGCAGCTGCAAAGATATAGAATACTTCACCATCAACCTATAAAACATTTCCCTTATCTGCTAATACCCGAGCTTCCAATAAAGGCTGCTTGAGCTTTTTTGGGTCTGGAAGTGAACTATCAAGCAGCAATTTCGAGGGTGGCTAGGTCTAATAGATACTTTAAACACTGTTTTAGAGATGCAAGGTGGAAAATGAAGCCTACTGATTGGAGATACAGGGAAACAGTGACCATCCATTAGCAGTGTTAAATAGCCAAGGTGTTAGCATATGGACCAACTTCCATTAATGGAAAAGTAGCAAGCTTTTTAATAATACTGAACTATCAGGCAAAATAAAAGCAACAGTTAAGTTGGGGAGAGATAGATGTAGCATCTAATAATGCCAATCAACTGTAAGCCCTTTACTCCTACTTTTTCAAAAAACTCCTATGTTCTCACTAGCTACATTACGTTAGAGAAACTGCAATAATTGAAGTTATGTAAATAAAAAAATTATGATTCTTATGTGATGTATCAAAAGACATTCACCATGTCAAGATATACTTGCAGTCTTTGTCTAGAACTATATCTATACTATTTATATTTATTCAGCTTTGGGAGGGAAATGCTCTTTCTATAATTTTCGGTCTCTGTTTTGAAGGCTCTTGACAGTTTACATGCAAACATATTTGACCTATTTGCTCTACAGCTAGAGTCAGCTGTAAATTAAAAACAGGTCATGTGATCTTACTCTTAGAATCAATATCTTATTTTAAATTCAGGGAGTTCAAATAACACGATCTATTGGTATCAATACAGTATAGGCAATATATGATCTCTAAATAGTATTTGTTTAACAATTTAATATATGCAAGAAACTAAGAATGATTACATGAGTTCTAAAGTAGTCTTAAATTCTAGCAATGTATGTGGCTAAATCTTCTCAGGTTCAGAGGCTGGTGAGAGTGTATGTCGGTGTGATCATTTCCTGGACTAGTAAGTCTTGTTTACATTTTTCACAGCCACTATGGAAAAACAGCAAGTAGATTTTATTTGTAAACTGGAAGAAAGTACTTAGTTGTCTGTAGAATTTTTCTTAACACACCTGTCTCCAGATGTTCAGGATAAAGGATTAAATACACTAATTATAAAGACAAAGATTAGTTTGGAACTTACATCAATATTGACCGGCTCTATTGTATTGATGTGCACATTGGGGGCAGATGATGAGCGATCACGTTGACCAAACTGATTTCGATGGTCTTCATCTGCAGGTCGGAATGGCTGGGGTATTGGGATGGATTTTGAAGGAGACGGACTGGGGAGAATTGGTGGGCTGAGAAAGTGAAGACATTAAAAATATATAAGATTTGCAGGGCTTCGTTTTACAGATGTGACAAAAACAATTCCCTCTGTTCCGAATCTCACAGCAACTGTAAGAACCTTCCATGCGAAATGTCTATGGAGATTCTGAGTCATCCAGGTCATAGTTATCCCAAAGATGCTTTTTCACGAGGCAACTGGACTTTCTTGTTTTCCTTTGAAGGCGTTTTGCTTCTCATCCAAGAAGCTTCTTCAGCTCTGAACTGAAGAAGCTTCTTGGATGAGAAGCGAATAGTCTTCAAAGGAAAACAAGAAAGTCCAGATAAAAAAGCATCTTTTGGATAACCTTCCATTCATTTTACAGGCTTTTGACCAGTGTACTACTGAGACAGTTGGCGAACACTCCAATGCAAGTTAAACTTATTCCTTCACCTGCTCAATTGTCTGACTAGAGATTTTAAATATAGGATGCCCTAATACACCAATATTCTTGCATTTGTAATCTAAGATACAAATATTTACAAACATATGATATACATAGATGTAAAATACAAATCCATGGGACATGAAATTTACTAGTAGTAGTCCAAAATGTGGAACCAAAGCACACATTAGTCAAAAGAGAAGTTACTGAGGGGTTTTACTGGTGATTAATATGATTTGTTGAATTAACAAGGTGGTGAGACCATATATGATAAAAAATATTGTGCATTCTCTGATAAAAAGAGAGAAGTTATTAGGAAACACTTTTTGGTCTCAGACAGTTTTCTTCAGAAATCAAATATTGTTTGATTATCAAAGTGGTGCATTTGATTGGAGATAAAGCTCATCTTGGGAAAAAAAAGCCATAACTGATATATAATGTCACTTGTAACTTTGACTATGTACGGAATAGGAGGACTTTTTTAAAAAAAACAAAACTGGAATTGTATTTTAGCTATTTCATTCAGCAGGCCAATATATTATATGATCTTTGATTCCATGTATGAGAGACAGTAATAGCAGGTGGCTGAAATGGGGCGTTGTATTACCTGAACGCCTTTTCTCAGCACGGAGATGGAGAATCCACCAATGGGTTTAGACTGTATTCCTGCCCAATCAGATCAAGTCAGACAAAGTTGCCACGCCCATCCTGGACCATAGAGATCCCAGTCTTGACGCGAGCGTAGCCATTGACTGACAGCAAGACGTGGCTCACTAAACTAAGACTAACCCTAGGCCTAAATGACCTGCAAGGGTGGGAGTGGATTCTCCATCTCCGTGCTGAGAAAAGGCGTTCAGGTAAGACAACGCCCCTTCTCCAGCACTGGAGATGGATAATCCACCAATGGGACATACCAAAGCCTACTGTCCCTGAGGGTGGGAAGTAGACCGGTCCTGAGTGGCACTTTGAAGTACAACCTGTTTGAGAACCCTCTTCCTGAAGGAGGCCTCCGCCGAGGCAAACCTGTCGATCTTGTAGTGCCATATGAAAGGAGAAAGTGAAGACCATGTGGCCGCTCTGCAGACGTCCTCAATGGATGCCTGAGTGGCCCAGGCCATGGAAGTAGCTGCACTCGGTGTAGAGTGGGCTGTAACCCATCGAGGAACTGGCAATGACTCAGCTTGGTACACCCCTGCAATGCACGCCCTAATCCACCTGCCAATTGTGGAAGATGAAATCTTCTGACCCCTGGAAGAAGGATGGAAGGAGACAAAGAGGGCCTCTGATTTGCGGAATGCCGCTGTCCGTGAAATATAGTACTGGAGCGCTCTGTGGATGTCCAGTAGATGCCATTGCCATTCCAGTTCATGCGATGGGTTAGGGCAAAAATCCGAAAGCACTATTTCCTGGGCTCTGTGGAAAAGGGAATTGACCTTTGGAAGAAAAGTAGGGTCGAGGCGAAGGACCACTTGATCCTGGTGAAAGATGCACAGGTCATCCCGCATAGAGAGCGCTGCCAGTTCAGAAATACGTCACGCCGACGTGATCGCCACCAAGAATGCAACCTTGTGGGACAGATAGCAAATGTTGCACGTTCTTAGGGGCTCAAAAGGCAACTTGATCAGAGCCTGAAGGACCTGTGGTAGCTCCCAAGAAGGGTACCTGTGCACTATAGAGGGTCTGGTGTTAGTGTCACCCTTGAGGAATGAGCAGAGCAAGGGGTGATGTCCCAGGGGCCCTGCAGAGTCACAGGTAAGTACTGTGGAAAGAGCAGCTGTCTGCACAATGTGTTTGGGGCCAATCCCTTCTCCAGGCCGTCTAACAGGTAGTCCAGGATATGGGGAATTGTGAGTTTCGGGAGTGACAAGTGTCGACCCGAGCACCAGGAGCAAAAGTTCTTCCACGTGGCCTCGTAAATACAGTTAGTAGAAGGGCGACGGGAAGCCTGGATTACCTTAATGACCCCTGGTGAGCAAAGCTCCCGTGACAAGATTGAGCGCTCAAGTGCCAGATGGCTAGCTGGAGCCATTGGGGGTCCAGATGTAGAATGGTCCCCTGGCTGAGCGAGACCCAGTCCGGAGGAATCCTCCATGGATCTGCAAGGGAGAGGCTCACCAGTTCGGTGAACCAAGGCCTCCTTGGCCAGTAAGGGGCCACTAGGAGCATCTCCTCCCTCTCCCAAAGAAGCTTGCGGATTACCACCGGGAGGAGAGGGAGAGGGGGGGAAGGCATAAAGCAGGCCCTCCAGCCATGGGCTCCGAAGAGCATCCGTTTGTTCCGCCCCTAGAGAGGGGAACTGGGAGAAGAATCAAGGCAGCTGGGCATTGGTCGGGGATGCAAAGAGGCCCAGAAGCGGCAGGCCGAAATGGTGGCAGATTTCTCTGAAGAGCCTTGGGTGGAGGCGCCATTCCGAGTGATCTACCGTTGCTCTGCTCAGGAGGTCGGCCTGAATGTTCGCCTCCCCTGAAATGTGATTGGCCTTGATGGAGGCCAGATTATATTCTGGCCAGGAGCCCAGTAGGAGAGCTTCGGTCAATAGAGTCTGAGATCGGGTGCCCCCTTGTTGGTTTACATGGGCTTTGGCAGCCATGTTGTCCGTGAGGACCAATACGTGACGCCGGGCCACCAGGCTGTGAAAGTGGCCAGATGTATGGCCCGGAGCTCCAGCTAATTTATGTTGTGTCGAAGGTCTGAGCGGGACCAACGGCCCTGTGCCCACTGTGAGTGAAGGTTCGCTCCCCAGCCGAACAGGCTGGCATCGGTCATTAGCACGAGCCGATCCGGTTCCTTGAAGTAAGACCCTCTGAGCATGGCGGGCGATAGCCACCATGTGAGGGAGCGCAATACTTGAGGTGGGAGTCTCACCCTTCGCTGGGAGGCACTGAGGTTCAGCCTCTGGAAGGGGAGCAGGAACCACTGAAGTTCCCTGGAGTGGAGCCTGGACCACGGGATGATCGCTATGGCCGAGATCATCTTCCCTAACAATTGGGAGAGACTGGTCAAAATTACTGTTTGACCCCTGCGTAATTGGAGGACTGACTCCCTTATGCTGTCCCAGCGCTCCTGTAATAAATACACCCGGCACTCCACCGTGTCTATGATGGCCCTGAGGTGTAACAGCTTTGTTGTGGGAACCATATGGCTCTTGGGGAAGTTTACCGAGAACCCGTGATCCTGGAGCAGCTATATCACCAGATCGAGATCTGCCATGGCGGACTGGGTGGACAATGACTGGATTAATATGTCGTCCAGGTAACATTGGACTCTGACTGGCACCATCCTTAAGTGAGCTGCAAGAACCTCCAGGATCTTGGTAAATACCCTGGGAGCCGATGATAGGCCAAATGGTAGTGCCCTGTACTGAAAGTGACGGAGGGCGAGAGAGATGGGGATATGAAGGTACACTTCCGTGAGGTCGACAGACGTCAGGAAGTCCCCTTTTCTTACGCTTCCCAAGATGGAGCGGAGCGTTTGCATCTTGAATTTGTGGTATGCAAAATGATAATTCAAGCCTTTGAGGTCTAGAATGGCTCTCCATCCCCCTGATGCCTTGGGGATGACAAAGAGGATGGAATAAAATCCCCAACCTCTCTGGTCTGCTGGCACCAGTTCTATGGTCCGTATGTTTAGTAGATGTTGAATGGCTTCGTTCATTAGTCTTTTCTTTGTTCGATTCCGGGGGTATGGACAAGAGAGAAATCGATTTGGGGGGTTGGAGACAAACTCCAAGGACAGGCCGTGACGTACGGTGTTGAGTACCCATGCGTCCATGGTAGTGGCCTCCCTCTGGTGGGCAAAGAGAGAGAGTCTGCCCCCTATGGGAGGGACCGCTGGAGAATCACCTGGAGCGGCGGAATGGTCAGCTGTTCCCCCGAAAGGGCCGCTTGTCCTGGGATTGCTGTCTGGGTCTGGCCATCTGCCTGTCAGATTGTCTATCCTGTCTGTCCTGCCTGGCCGGGAAGAAGTGGACGTGAGCAAGACAGCCTACCTTGTAACAATAAAAATAATGAAGTGTAATTACTCCTCAATCCTTATTGTGCCTGCAGAATGTCAAGCAGCTGCACTTTTCAAAGGGTGCAAAACAGTCTGGAGGAAGGATGATCCAGAAAATCCAATCAATCTAAGTGATGTTGGCCTGACTGAACATTTGGTGAATTAAAACACTCACACTTTTGAGAGAGGATCCCAGGAGGTAGGCAAAGACCTCTGTGATCTTGGCTCTGCTATTTGGGAATCTGAACCCTGTCTCACCTGGTTACTAAAAGCAGCAGGGAAAGAATGTAGAAAGTGGATCCAGGGTATAATCAACAACTCTTTGAGAGAAGGGAAAGTGGTGGAGGTCAGGTCTGAATGCAACAAAACCGGAAAATTACTCGCTATCACTTAGTTATTGAGAAAGGAGTGGAACTGCAATTGGAGAGAGCTTAGTTGGAGATATTGTGACCACTCCTTTTCTTCTAGTGCTCTCAGAAGCCTTTGATACAGTTGACTACAGTATTCTTCTGGACCACCTACAAGAGTTAAGAGTTGAGGGATAGTAGTTCTGCTCTTATCTGAGCAGGCAGATGCACTTGATAACTGGGGTGGGTTGGGGTAGGAAGAGGTCAGACTCACAGGTACTTTGGTATGGAGTGCCTAAAGCAGGGGTTCTCAACCTTGGCAACTTTAAGACTTGTGGACTTCAACTCCCAGAATTCCTCAGCCAGCAAAGCTGGCTGAGGAATTCTGAGAGTTGAAGTCCGCAAGTCTTAAAGTTGCCAAGGTTGAGAACCATTGGCCTAAATGTTCAGTCTTTTCCCCTATCCTACTCAACATCTGCATGAAATCCTGGGAGAGGTCATCTAGGTGTTCAGGGTGAGGTATTAATCCATTTTTTCCTGCAACCTCAGATTTTATTTTCAAAAACACCAATATTCCGTAAAGTCCCCAATTTCAAGCCAATTCTGCATAAGATGCTCAACTTTTAAATACAAAGGTAGCAAACCACAATCTACCAAGTCAAGATGCAAAACAGGATTTTGAACAGGGCAACTTATAAATAACATCTTAATATGATTAAAATGGCCAATTAAAAACGTACACAGAAGAATTTGAAAGGGCCACTGAAGGGTATGATCCAGATGCTGGTGTGGTCTCCCCTACAGAGGTCTCTTCTTGTGGTATTGGATGATGTTCGAAGAATTTGGAAACAAAAAGTAAACTGTGGAGCAAGAAAAAAATAATAACATAAGAGGAAGAAAATATTACATTACATCTGTAATAGAGATAAATTACCCCATGCACATTTTAAAGCTCTCTTTTGCCAAATGAACAAGTCTCTAAAATAATTTTATTGGTCTCAGCTTCATGGAGAACAAGATGTATAAAATAAAGGAATCCCCTCTGCTAAAGAATAAGCTGGCAGCTGAATGGATATATGAGTTAATTACGGTATTGTTTCTCTGTATACCTGTGCTTATTAAATCACAGAAATACCATCAATAAACATTTTGTTTTTTAAGCACAGCTTCTGATTTTCTAAGACTATTCCTCAAATTAATCTGAAGAAAAGACGTTATTCTTTTCATAACAAATCTTTGTGCTCTAAGAATGAAAGTTAAGCTTTTTTCAGTATTTATATTAACCCTGTATTAAAACTCAGCTTTTTCTGCCACAACAGTTTTAAATGCTTTTATTTTATGATGTGGTGAATAAAGGCAGGATAGGAATTTTATAAATAAATAATTACATAAATGAATTTTGCCAATGTAACCTTATTTTATACAAAGACTTTCAAATGACAACTATTGGTCTAGCAAGTCACCCTTTATTGAATGCAACTTTTTATGGACTTGTCTGCCTTGGATTTTGTGAGCGCTGCATATGAAATATACAGTAGCTGGAGTAGAGTGGGTCCAATATAAATCTTTTTATGATACAAAAACATGTTTGTACTTGATCCCTTTTAAATTAGATTTGCACAACTCTTTTTATTGTTATGATTCATCGCAGTCAGTCAGATGTTTAGTATTGTTTTATTTATATCCCATCTTTATTATTTTTATAAACAACTCAAGTCAACAAGCTGATCTAATACTCCTTATTCTTCCTGTTTTCTCCACAACAACAACCCTGTTAAATAAATTGGGATGACAGAAAGTGACTAATAGGACTAGAACTTAGTTTCTAGTCTGATGTCTTTATACTAGACCAAACTGGCTCGCAGTTATATTGCAGGCACCTCTCCTTATGGAAAAGACATCATCAGAGGACATAGTTTCCTTTCGTATTACAAAAGTTGTCACTATATCTCAATAAATTTTCCTAGAGTTCTGCACTGGCAAACATCTATGCTTTAGGGCCAGAGCATTTAAATGCAAAGGGGTTCCAATTACTTACTCAAGCTGATCATAATTCACACACATTAGTGGCACTTCAGTACTGCAACGCTGATGAAATTTGTAACCACAAGTCTGGCAACGGAATCCCTGGAAAAGCAACTTTCTGCAGAAATCACAAAACGCTAAAGTGAAGAATGTCTTCCGTACCTACGCCATCAAAAAAACAAGAGATAAAGTCCTATTTTGTTAAATATGATCTTACCAAAGAAGAACTGTTTACGTTTTATTCTGATTATGGTTCATTTCAATGTTACTCTATAAATAGTACACTTGTGAAGATCATAGTCTGTGGTTGAAACACTAAAAGCAACTACTCAGAACCCAGAACATATCAGGTGTATTAGTCTACAACTCCAAAAATTCCAATTAACTGGCAGTTAAAAGGAGGAAACAGCTACAACCACACATTGCTCCTAGAAGCACGAAGCCGAAAGCACCAGCCTGAAACGTCGCCAAGACACTTCCAATTTTACGTGGGAGAAAACCCGAATATATAAACCTGAACAACCAAAGATCGAAACATCGTCAAGACTTCCAATTTTACGTGGGAGAAACATATATATAAGAATTGACCTGAATATTATGCAGAGGCAGAATTACATTCTGCTAAATGTAAACACTATAAATTATAGTACCTCTAGATTATGTTAGCCAGATTGCAAGCAAATTGGTACCTATTTCTACCAAGTGTGACAATCTCTAACTAGGGAGTCCTTCTGGTTCCAAATTTTAAAAGAAATTGGGAAAAATCACCCAACAATCTTTCACAATTAATTCTGCTGTTAATTCGGCATACAAAATGGAGACATAAGAAACTGACCCAATACTGTTATTAGTTCTCATATTAATAACAGGAAATATTGAAAAAATGTATTTTAACTGAATCAGTATTTAAAAATGGCTTAACTTTTTCCAGCTGAAAAGGTTAAAACAAAGAGATTTAAAAAGCATTACAATGAAGGATTCATATCTTTAAAAATATTAGCTCCTGCTATTTATTATTTATATTTACAATGCTTTTCCAAATGCATTACTTTCACCTATATCAATGTTTCTTAAACCTTTTACTCTGTTTGTATATATTTATCAATATTTACTGTATTAAAAGTTAAACTGATGCATTTGCACAATATTTTCTTATTGATTCTTCTAAAAAGAACAATATTAATGTAAAGTATTTTTACATAGAACTCTATATTTTAAACAAGTAAAAAATGAGAATAGTGACATTTTTTTAAAATGCAGCCTAACTGTATATTTCAATAAATCTCTAACTGAACAAAAACTGGACCAACCTCTACACATTTTAATACATTTTCTAACAACTGTGAATGTTTACGTTTTATTTATATGAAGTTATATCTATAGATTCATTTTTTTAAGTAAATGGTGAATATGGCATATTCTCAAATTTAGACACTCTTTGTATTCTGTAGGACTTACTGCAGAAAAAACAATTTCCAACGTTTAGTTAAATAAAACCAGGTAGTTCTAGAAAATGCTGTACTGATTATTATTTTTTACTATTTAAAGTGTTGATGTAGCTCAGGGGTGTCAAATTTCATTGAGGGCTGCATCAGCATTGTGGTTGCCTCAGCGGGCTGGGTGGGTATAGCCAGGATGGGTGCGGTCTACTGAGTGGGCGTGGATGAAGTAGGTGTGGCCTATTGGGTGGGTGTGGCCAGCTCTACATCCTTCACGTCAAGGGTGCCTGTGGGGGCCTGGGCAGGATTGGGACAGATCTGAGAGTCTCTGGCAGAAAGGGATGGGACCAGGACAAGTGCCAAGGCATGGTCCACTGGAGGAGCCGCACTGTTCCTCTCAGACCATGACGGGGGGGGGGGGCTTATGGAGCTAAGACTGAATGCGTTTTAGCATAGATGGCCACCACAAAATTGTACATTGGCTCCCAGCTGGCCTGGGCCAGAGCAAAGGCAGAGGGGGCCGTTCCCTCACTATTTCCAGGATGGCTTCGTGGGCCACATGAAACCACTTCGCGGGCCGCATCCGGCCCCGGGGCCTTGTGTTTGACATGTCTGATGTAGCTTAAAAACTATGAAGAACTTATGTATCAAATATTTAATACTTAAAGATTTTCTCCCACAAATACTATCCAACTCATGCACTAGTTAGTTGGAAGGACCTTCCTGATAGCTCTATTGGTGGGTACAACTTACAATATAATAATGGCCAGAAGTAAGATTTTCTCAGTGACAGCATTTGATAATGGAACTCCCTACCAAAAGAAGCACACACCTTCAACTTTCCTTCTTTTAGATAACCATTGACAACATGTCTATTTCCCTAGGTATTTTCAAGATTTTTTTTCCCAAAGATTAGTTTTCTTTGTGTTTCTTAGCCTGCTAGGTCATAGTATGACTTTTCTACCATAACCTTCTTGTTTTGGCTGAAGTTAGCTATTGTTGTTTGTAAACCACATGGTGTAATCCTAAGCAACTGGAGTGTGTGAACCATGATTATATTTCAAGAACACCTGATACTGGAAAACAAGATCATGAGTGCCCTATGACTGCAATTTGGAAGTTATCACAAAGAATATAAATACTTTGCTTGGAAAGATTAAGACCAATGTGATTTTTAAAAGTTGCGAAAGTCAGTGAAAGAACAGCAGATATTATAAGAGAAGAAGACTTACAAAATTATGTGTCGTAAGAGGCACATTCTCCAAGACTTCCACATGTAGTTCTTCTCCCGTCAACCAGGAAATGTCTGTGTCCCAACCAATGGGCTTCTTTTCCCTACAGTGTAAATAGGTTCTTTGAAGTTAAATGCAATTTCTAAACTCCAATTTTAATGATGAGGATGTGCATATCAGAAGATGGAGATACCAAATATTTAGTGTTTATTTCCCAGCCCTCTCCTCATAGAAACTTAATATAGCTCCTTTTTTTTTAAAAAAGGAAGCTTCATTCTGGTCAAATGACAATTTCCTCCAGAACTAAAAATGCATTAGTTTAGTGCCAGATTAGTCTCTATAGAAAACCAGAGAGAGAGAAACAATTTGGAAGCTGCTACACTACAGTGTAAAGAAGAGATCATACTGAATTATCCTCCAGTAAATCAACTAATGAATCCAGAGAATGAATTGTTCTTCTCCTCCTACCATCTGCCCTCCCACAATCTCATCAGCTGGTACTGGGAAGTTCTCATATTTGTGAAAACGTCTGCTTTGAAATATTGAAAACTAATATTCTCAGACACCCCTGGAAACAAACCCTTTAGCATTTTTTCTCTCTCAAATGATCACCACCCACAAAGCCATACTACAATCAAACCATACCCATCCTGTATACGGTAAACGGCACAGCACTCTGGGATAAGACCTCGCATCATCAAAGCTTTCTTTAGACTCTCCCGGACTGTTACTCCACATCGTGCTGGAACCTACAAAGTTTAAAAAAAAAAAAATCACTGCTTTAGGTTTCAGTGTAGTATCATGGGAGATATTTCTAAACTCTCAAAAAAAATGTACTCTCTTGAAATTTACATATTTTAATGTTTACAAGCTTTAAGAATTCTGTTTTAAGAATTCTGACCAAACAGTGTTTAGGAATCTGGTTCTGAATATAAAGAATATAAAGAATCAAACTCTTTCTGTCATAACAGATACCTGAAAAACCTCTCTGAGAATATGTCAGATCTTAATAATTTTGTGAGCTCTTTGGAATGCTTCCTGAAGATGGTTTACAAAAACTCCCAAAGCGTAATTATTGCCCATCAGTATCATTACTATAATGTATACATTTCCCAAAGTTCTTAAATATTCCTGTAGTACACAACAAATGATATGGCTGACATTTCATACAAACATCCTTTTAAGAGACTTATGTTCATTTCTTTCCTTCTTACTTATAAGATTAAAATATATTAAATGTCTTACGATGTATTTTTCTTCAGTTCTGCTGGAACACAAAATAACTAGAAACCATCATCCTGTAAATCATTTTGCAAACAAAACAAAGCAAAACAAAACAAAACAAACCCACTGTCATTATCACTATTTACATATATTTGTTCTGAAGCTATTTTATTTATTCAAGAAAAAAACCAGCTGGGTGATTCTGAATAGAATTAAGGATTAAACAAGAGTCTTATTCTTGAGGAAAACGGAACATACTTGTATTCAGATGTCAGTCCTACATACATTTGACTGAACTCATGAGACAAAATAAATGCAGGAGAAAATATGTTAATCTGAAAACTTTGCAAAATTTTGTTGTGAACAGGCACTTGCCGGTTTATAATAAAAATTGTTTAGTTACCGTTAACTGTTGAGAATGTGAGGAAAGAAAATATTTTTATGTAACTATAGCAATAATCTTTTTATTCTTCTATACCTGTTCAAAAGATTATTTTCCTTTAAATAGTTTCCTTAACTTTTAAAATTCCAAACCCTTTTGCTCAAATTTTAAATTATTTGCTATAAGGAAATAATACTATAATAACACACATGCACATGAATATACAAATAGTATGAATAAAATATCTAAATGACCACATTGTTGTAAAAGATATAAAATACAGAGCATAATATGAAAGGAAGATGGCTTCTAAAATCTGAGAGAGGATCTTTCCCTATCCACCTGGATTTTTATTAATATTCTGGATCTAGTCCTTCATTAATCTAAACTGAAGGACAAATTGTAAACATTTTATCTTTAATGCTTTACCAGAATTTTATTTATCTCTAAAGGCCCATTTGCAGCAATGAGACAATCAAGAGATTCCTAGGCTGCACATTTATGAATCAGAGTAGATTGCCTGTTAGGACTTAAATTTTGTATACTGTATACTTATTTACATAATTATGAAGACTGAGATTTCTACCCTTTGAACAGGATATTCAGAAGATAAAAGGAGAAGAAAAGCTAACAATGCTGTCCTGCTGTTGTAGTTTCAATCACTTATTCCAGACATAAATTCCTCTGAGGTATGTTGGCTATATAGACCTCATACCCATCTACATGCAAAACATAACTTACAAGTATTGAAATCTTAACAGCTGAGATTCCAATACAAAGCTACTGAAAACAAAACATGTTTTTTTAAAGTAAGTTTCCTAGAACCACTTACCCTCAGTCTGCCTGCCCTACTGTTTACATCTTTCCTACTAGTACAGGGGTTCTCAACCTTGGCAACTTTAAGACTTGTGGACTTCAATTCCCAGAATTCCTCAGCTTTGCTGGCTAAGAACCCCTGTACTAGTACATCATTCTGCTACTGTCAGGCCCTCAGCCAAGAAATGCACATGGTGATTCTTCCAAGGTGATTCCTCCTCCTGGGAATCCACCTCCTTACTACATGCCATCATAGCTGCTACTATATATTGCCTCCTTCTAGGGGACAAGAGAAGAATCCTGCGCTGGGAACAGCAATGGTATATGCAGAGTATTGCAGAAGACAGAACTAACAGTATGCTGCATAGACAATTTTCTAATGTTCAAGAAATTGTTTGTACACTGCAATTGCAAAATACCCTTCTTAGTAATTACTTTTGGCACATCTTCCCTCCTTAGCTTTTATTTTAGATCCTAGTAATGGGAAGAAACAAATTTTAATCTGGAAAAACAACTATTGCATCACAAAGTATACACATCATATAACTGAATATATATCAGTTTTTTGAGAACTGTTTTGTCATTTACAGAAGTTCTAAATCCTAAATGGAGAACCTCAGTTTTGGTTTTCAAGCAGTAAAATTATTACTTGAAAACATAACATTAGAAATGTATTGGATCAATTCTCATACTAAGGAATTTGGAGCATAATTCCCAAATACTGGAGAACAGCTTTAGTTTATTTGATTGCTTCTCTAGATACTTAACTACTTAGAAGTTTGATGTAAAAAAAATTAAGTTAGACAGCAAAATCACTCTGTAACTTTATTACTCTCCCTTCTAATATAATGTAATATTTTAAAATCATTTTAAAATCCAGGTTAAGTTATTAAGGAGTTGTAAAAAAACCCCCAGCCTTCATTGTAAAATATAGCACTATATCTACCCTACCCCAAAACAGATCAAAATGTAACATGCACATGATATAAAATGAGACATATTAAAACTATAATAATAGACTAAAACAATTGAGAATTAAATACAACAGACACAAATCCAATTAAAATTATATTGCATATCTGAAATTCAATCTCACTAAATTTGAATAGACATTTGTCATTTGAATAGATATCTATAGGACTGTAGTACAGTCAAGTACAGCTAAGTTATTCTGGCTTCATGGAAAGAGTTAAACATGTGCTCAATTCTCCCACTGAAATGAACTAGAGGTACAGTGGGGCAAAAAAGTATTTAGTCAGCCACCAATTGTGCAAGTTCTCCCACTTAAAAAGAAGAGAGAGGCCTATAATTGTCATCATAGGTAGACCTCAACTATGAGAGACAAAATGAGGAAACAAATCCAGACAATCACATTGTTTGATTTGGAAAGAATTTATTTGCAAATTATGGTGGAAAATAAGTGTGTGGTCACCTACAAACAAGCAAGATTTCTGGCTCTCACAGACCTGTAACTTCTTCTTTAAGAGGCTCCTCTGTCCTCCACTCATTACCTGTATTAATGGCACCTGTTTGAACTTGTTATCAGTATAAAAGACACCTGTCCACAACTTCAAACAGTCACACTCCACTCCACTATGGTGAAGACCAAAGAGCTGTCGAAGGACATCAGAAACAAAATTGTAGACCTGCACCAGGCTGGGAAGATTGAATCTGCAATAGGCAAGCAGCTTGGTGTGAAGAAATCAACTGTGGGAGCAATAATTAGAAAATGGAAGACATACAAGACCACTGATAATCTCCCTCAATCTGAGGCTCCATGCAAGATCTCACCCCGTGGGGTCAATGATCACAAGAACGGTGAGCAAAAATCCCAGAACCACAGGGGGGGACCTTGTGAATGACCTGCAGAGAGCTGGGACCAACTTAACAAAGGCAACCATCAGTAACACACTACGCCGCCAGGGACTCAGATCCTGCAGTACCAGATGTGTCCCCCTGCTTAAGCCAGTACATGTCCTGGCCCGTCTGAAGCTTGCTAGAGAGCATTTGGATGATCCAGAAGAGGATTGGGAGAATGTCCTATGGTCAGATGAAACCAAAGTAGAACTGTTTGGTAGAAACACAACTCGTCGTGTTTGGAGGAGAGAGAATGCTGAGTTGCATCCAAAGAACACCATACCTACTGTGAAGTATAGGAGTGGCAACATCATGCTTTGGGGCTGTTTCTCTGCAAAGGGACCAGGACGACTAATTCGTGTACAGGAAAGAATAAATGGGGCCATGTATCATGAGATTTTGAGTGCAAACCTCCTTCCATCAGCAAGGGCATTGAAGATGAAACGTGGCTAGGTCTTTCAGCATGACAATGATCCCAAACACACCGCCCGGGCAACGAAGGAGTGGCTTCGTAAGAAAACCTTTGGAGGGAGTTGAAAGTCCGTGTTGCCCAGCAACAGCCCCAAAACATCACTGCTCTAGAGGAGATCTGCATGAAGGAATGGGCCAACATACCAGCAACAGTGTGTGCCAACCTTGTGAAGACTTACAGAAAACGTTTGACCTCTGTCATTGCCAACAAAGGATATATAACAAAGTATTGAGATGAACTTTTGATATTGGCCACACACTTATTTTCCACCACAATTTGCAAATAAATTCTTTCCAAATCAAACAATGTGATTGTCTGGATTTGTTTCCTCATTTTGTCTCTCATAGTTGAGGTCTACCTATGATGACAATTACAGGCCTTTCGCATCTTTTTAAGTGGGAGAACTTGCACAATTGGTGGCTGACTAAATACTTTTTTGCCCCACTGTAAAAGGTGCTTCTACTAGACTATGCTAAATTGAAATTTGAGTTTTGAATAATTGCCTTTACATTTAATATTCCTTTTGCAGTCTCTTTCTATTTTGTGCTATTATGCTTAATTTTCTCATTCCTAAAATGACATAGTTTCTATACCCACCCCCTTTAATTATGTGTTCTCCTGGTAATTATGTGCACTCCTGGTAATTCCTGTTTCAGATCCTGTCATCTCATATTTTTAGTGTAGCCTGTCCTTCCCACTGAGAAAAGAAACTTCAATCTCTCTTAACTCCTCTCCCTTGTTCCTAGTCTCCATGGTCTCCTTGGTAACAAGCCTAAGTATGTGCAAGAAATTATTAGAAAGGGGGATAAGATTATCACTGGGCATGATGTCATTGCTGCGTATCAAAACCATTTCCCATTTAATACTTACAAGTCCAACATAGATATCACTAGTGTGATACCCTCAACATATATTATATTACAATCCCTTCTTCCTACAAACTGGCTCTCCGTTGTTTTGCTCAAGGTTATCTATGGTTAGGTTCTACTCTCTAAAAAAATCCCACATGTTGGAGTTTGGGGTTAGTGATCCATATTGGATTGCAGAATTCTTAAAGATTCACAAATGCATCAACAACATACATATTTATTCTAATATATACAATAGTCCTAGAAATGGAATATATTTAATTTTTAATTGCTGGGCAGAGAAGTTTTAATCTCATTATCATCCAGCTCTCTGGCAAACTATTGGAAGTATGATGATGTTAAAGAAGACAGCATGCAAACAAACTTTCTCAACCTCTTTTTTTTTCCCTTAGCATAACTAGAGCAGAACATGACAAGAGCTTTATAGTTTGGCCCTTTGAGCATGAAGAGTAGGGTCACATACATCCATTCTACATGCTGCACAACACTATTGTTGATAACAAGTAAAAGAATAAATAAAAAATGAGAAAAGCCTACATATCCTATACAAAATAGAAGTTGTTAATGTTACCCCATTTTCACAAATTTTTGCCAAGTTACCACCAATAATGCATTCCAGCCCTTTATTTGCATTTCTAATCCAGTACAATATTTGGGATTTTTTTCTGTACACTACTTTACTTATTTGGCAATATTAGAAAGAGAAATATTGACAGCTGTTCAGGTCTTACCACAGTCCTCTGTTTGTTGGGTAGGAAAACTCTAACAGTAGGCTTCTGAGGAGATTTAGGGTTACTCCGTGATAAATCTATAGGATTCTGATATACAGAGAGAGATGAAGGTGCTACAGAAAGACTAGAAGAAGAGGATGAAGTAACTGTTTCTGTTGAGGCAGAACTGGAGACCGAGAAATCAGTTCCATTTCCCATTGATTCCAACAACTGTTGCTCTCTCTGTTGTAATGCATCTAACTTGCTGGTATATTCCTCATATGCCTATAAGAAAAAAAGTTGAATTATTAAATAGTTCTCTAACCTAATTTGCAAATCTATTTCTAAATTTAGTATTAACCTTTCCCAATGTGGCATTTCCATATGTGCTACAATATAATTCTCATTATCTCCTGAGACCTATTGACCACTTCTGTTGAAGTGATGACAGCAAAGTTGCCTTACACATCAGACTGAAGAAGACAGTACTATGCAATCCGCACATGTAGCACAACGTTTGGGAAATTCAGCCAATTTTATCCAATGCAAAATTATGTATTACAATAATATACAGATTTATTTTTTATGAGACAGCACAAAATTAATTTAAGGTGGATGAAGATATTTCGAGGACAATAAAAATTGGTCAGTCCTTCCCATGCTCCTATTTTTTCCTTGTAAATTTTATCTCCAGCCAAGTCCTATCCCTCTTCCTCCAAGTAGGCTTTGAGACTGAAAATAGGTCCAGCTGGAGAAAAATGTTGGTGAAGGAACCACTGGAAAGAATCAGTTATATTGGAAGGGTGAAGCACCCCTTCTAATCTGAAAATTGCATTACTATTATATAGTACAGATGTCTGCTGAGGATTAATTTATTTTATTTATAACGCTATTCTGCCCCAAGTGATGTATATGCACTAGAAAACTAGCCTAGAAGAATGAATACGGATTAGAAGTCATTACTTGTACTCACTTTTTGTCCCCTATTTACAGTGCCCAAAGTAGGCACTGTATTGCTTCCTTCTTTTTTTTTTTTGTCTTTTGTAAAATTATTGGCAGAAGCTTCTCTGATTGAAGCCTCATAATCACATGCACCTTTCTTTAACTGGCAATTGCAAATAGCATATTATGGTTTGGGAACTTCCAATTTGCTTGGAAAGGTAGGTGCATGGAGGGTAGGAGTTGAATGTATGAGCTTAAATAACTCATAATGGCAATAGTCCTATATAAATGCACTGTATCAAATAGGGAAAATCTGAATTGTGACACTAATGTGCAATCTAGCAAATAATTATACATACATGGAAAACTACTTTGCCTAGAACTTCAGTGCTAAATAAGGAAACAATGAGTCCTGTGGAAAACAAGTAATGTATACAGAATTCTTAACTGAGTAAAACTAAGCATCTAGAAGCAAAGACAATGCAGTCTGCAATATGGCTTATCACAATAGTCCACCTTCGAGCACCTTCTCAACTTCTCTTAGCCACTGCAGCTGCTGATATCCACATGACAAAAGGGGGAGGGGGAAACTCTATAACATGGGTGTAACACAAATTTTCCCTAACATTAAAAGAGTTACACAAGGAACTAGCAGCTCCCTTTCCTTTTTAAATGACCCCCACATCCCATTTTATTTTGTACACAGACTAAACTTTATGAATGTTTTTCATGGACAACCCTAAACCAACTCTTTTGTGCACCAGACAACATAAATAGAATGTTTTATGTAGCCCTAATATAGTATGCACGCACATGCACAGAGTGCAAAATAATTAAATATAGATTCAAAAAAAGGAATTCTATAATTACATTTAGTTTACAATAGCACCAGTTACTATACTTCTTCATATTTTTCCAACCTTGAAAAGTAGCCAAAGTATATATGTTGAGTCATATACATATGTGTGTGTGTGTGTGTGTGTGTGTGTGTGTGTGTGTGTGTGTATATATATATATATATATATATATATATATATATATATATATATAGATTCATAACTACCTTTTCTTTAAAATATTCATTTCTCCCTTTTTGAAATTCTCATTAAATTAATCCAACCTCAAGCTTTTTGGACTGCCATTCTTCCCAACTCATTCATCTCTCCATTTATTTATCAAATCAGCTGTAACTCATTATTTCAGTTATGTAAGTTTACCTCAATACATTTATTTTATACTGGTAACTTATTTTTAACATAAATTTATTTAATACCCATTCTTACTTTATTCATTTTGTTCAATTTCTTAATTAATTTTCAATGTATTCAACTTACTTTTATGTTTTTCCTATTATACTCTTACTTCTATATTTTAAAATGATCAAAAACATATTCTTACGTATTTTCATTTCTTCAGTAAATTTTTTTTACTGTAGAGTTAGACTATATATAACCCACTATTACTCTAGAAGTATTTGCATATCAGAATTAATTCATGAATGTACTTATTTGAACTAAAAAAAATATTTGTACTAAAAATGTACTTATTTGTACTAAAAAGTTCTTGTTTCCACCATTTATGTATAACTCAATTTTCTCTTCCAAACATGATTACCTTGTTTTAGGATATCATATTGGTTCATATTCTTTGCCACATTATACAACATTCATGATACATCATTTGGGCTTTCAGCCTACTCCTCAGCATTGTTTGCGTGCAAAAGTACATACACATTTATATCCCCAACCAACCCATTATAAGGTCACTGCAAGCTTTACAAATTCTTGTCTTAGTTCTTACTCAGTGCTGACACATTCAACTAACCATTATTAAGCATCCATTTACATTCTTTACTTGTTCCTAACATATTTATTCCAAATCAACTATTTATTCCAAATTTTATACAGAAAGGTCCATAATCCAACCTATTCCAACCTTTGCCTAACTTTTCTTTTTTACATGCATGCATTTCTTAATAATCTCTGCAGGTCAAACACCTAATTTGTTCATCTTCTGCCTAACATAAATCTCTACCAAATAGAGTTTATTGTCTCTGGCAGAAGGGAGTGGGACCAGGGCAAATGCCAAGGTATGGTCCACTGGAGGAGCCTCACTGTTCCTCTCAGGCCATGTGGGGGGAGCTGGATGGTGGTGCGGGCTGCCCGGAGCCTTGGGCAGAAGAGGTCAAATGCCCAGCCTGGCCCTTGAGCACCCGCGGCATCAAGCCCAGCCCCATTTCCCCAAGGGGGCACCCAGCTGCACTTACCTCCTCCTCAAGGCTGCTGCTGCTGTGCTTGTTCTCCTTAGCCAGGTTGCTCATGATGGGTACGAGGGCAAAGTCAGAGGGAGGCCCATTCCTTCTCCTCACAGTACCGAGAGGCTGAACCAGGTGGCGCGAATCCAAAAAGAAGCGTGATGCCGCCCAACCCAGCCTGCCCGGTTTCGGCGGGCAGCAGGGCACTCTCACAGCGCCGAGAGGTTGAGCCGGGCGGTGGGAAGCTCGCCAACTTTGCACCTTGCTGCCTGCTGAAACTGGGCAGGCTGGGGGCTAGGCAGCATTGCACTTCTCATCAGTTTTGCGCCACCCAGCTCAGCTCTTGGCGCTGTGAGGAGAGTGCCCTGCTACCTGCCGAAACCGGGCAGGCTGGGCGTCACCGTGCTTCTTTTTGGATTTGCACCACCCAGCTCAGCCTCTTGGCGCTATGAGGAGAGCGCCCCGCTGCCTGTCGAAACCCCTCCCCCAGAGCCCATCAAGCCAGATATGTGAAGTAGGCGAGGGCCATTTGCTGGCCACTTCCAGGCGATGGTGCATTTCTTCATTCCTCACAAAGGGTGACACCTCCCCAACATGCACCCAGGGGGCTGACGTGGCAGGGGCTGGTTCCTCGCTGTTTCCAGACGGTCTTGTGGAGCTAAGACTGAATGCGTTTCAGCATAGATGACCACCACAAAATTGTATATTGGCTCCCAGCCGGCCTGGGCCAGGGCCAAGGCAGCGGGGGCCATTACCTCACTGTTTCCAGGATGGCTTCGCGGGCCACATGAAACCACTTCGCAGGCCGCATCCGGCCCCCGGGCTTTGTGTTTGACATGTCTGTGCTAGAATGAAGAGACAGCTATGTGGGCTATGTCACCAACTGTCAGACACCAGTAGGAATATAAACAATTAAGAGATATGTAGCAATTTTATGGCAGTCTTTCCTAGATACTGAAAGTTGATCTCTGCTGCAAAGCCCCTGATTTATGGAAACAAATATTTGGGGGATACATACAAAGTGCATTTCTTTATCAAAAAAAATATTTTGGATTCAAGTCAAATGATCACCCCAGCTAAACAGATAAATGACTGATGATTTTCATTCTCTGTTGTCTGAAACATTGTGAATAAGCTGACAACTCATATACTGTTTTCCCAATAAACATTCTTTTCCCACCCAATTTCTAAATGTCTGTAACAACAACCAACATATAAGAATATACCAATCAGAAGAGTAAAATACTCAAAGCAATCCAAGCCAGGCTCCATATCCACCCTATTCTCAAGGCCTGGGGAGAATAATCAAGATTTTAATAATTTCTTCAACAACTTTGGAGGAGGAATCACATTAATTTTGGAGGTAAGATCATTCCAGAAGGCAGGAATTGCAACATAGCAGGCATGCTTCTTGGGTCCCACAAAATGATATTCTTTAATTGATGGGACGAATTATCCACCCTGTTTGACCTTACCTAACAGGCAGAGAAAACTGCAGATAGACAGTCCCTCAGGTAGCAAGATCCTATGCCACGAAGGGTGTTAAAGGTGATAAATTTAAATTACATCCAAGGAGTAAACTGCAAACCACTGTAGCTCATGAAACAGTGGGGTGTCCTCAACACTTCATACATTGCCACATTTTGGCACAGCTGTAGCTTCCAAATGATCTTCAAGGATAGCCCTAGGTAGAACGCATGGCAGTAATCCAATGGTGACTAGGGCAACATGTATATTAGCTGTACTTGTGCAAAGACCCTCTTGGCCAGAGCTGCCACCTGCTCTCTAAGTAGGAACTGAGAATCCAAGAGGATTCCCAGATTGCACATGTCTCAAATGTGGAAGTGTACCCTGTAATGGTATGTTGGAATGACTTTGGAAGACAAGGCAACAATGCAGATACAAGGCAGTTTAGCCTACATCAGGAATGTGGTGGGACAAGAGCCTCAAAGGGACCTTTCCAGGTGATGGCACAGTTAGAATGCCGTATTACAGACTAATTCTGCTGCCTGCTGACTGCCAGCAGTTCGGCAGTTCGATCCTGCCCGGCTCAAGGTTGACTTAGCCTTCCATCCTTCTGAGGTTGGTA